GAGGACCGCATCCTGCACTTTCTCAACCGCACCAGCGAGGAGGAGGCGGCCGCCACGCTCTTCTTCTACCGCACGGTGGTGCCCGAGGAGGTGGAGCTGGAGGTGGAGGCCGGTGAGCCCGCCCGGCGCAGGGGCTGTCCGGGCCCTGGGGCGCGGGGGGAGCCGGGGATGCCAGGGGGGAGCGGGGAAGCCGGGGGAGCCGGCCCTGCTCCCCCAGGCCCCTGGGAAAGGCAGCCCTGGAGTGAACGGTCCCAGCTGACGCTTTATTTAGTGCTGACCCAAAGCTCCTATCAGCCCGTCAGCTCTAGGCAGTGGGAGCGCTGTTAGCCCACGTTACAGATGCGCAAGCTGAGGCACAGGGAGGCTTGAATGGCTCACCCGCGTGGGTCGCACAGGCAGACAGGACTCCAGAGTAGGAGCCAGGGCGCAGTGACAGGCCACGGATGCGACAGGAGCGGCCCAGGTGCGGGGCGGGCGGGGGGCAGTCCTTTCTGTCTTCCGAGGCTCCTGTGCGATTCCAAAGTCACTCCCAAACGAGGTTTTAGAAATGACGGTGGATTTCCAATGCTTACGTTTCCCAAAGTGCAGATGAAAGTGATGGCTGGATGCCCCGAACGCTCGGGGGACACAGAGAGGGCCTGGGGATGGGCGGTGGGGGGGCGGCAGGGCAGCGGGCAGGGCGCCGGACAGGTGCGCGTCAGGAAGGAGGCTGGGACACAGGCAAGTCCTCTCTGCCACAGGGGCACCCGCAGCTGCCAGGCGTCAGGGAGGAGTCTGTGCCCGGCCGCCCACCAGTGCCAGCCTCCTCTGCCAGCCCAGGGTCCCCACTGGATCCCCACAGGGCCTGTCACAGGAAGGGATGGTTGCTGCCAGGCAGACCTTTTTGTTTCGTTTCCTTTTAAAGGCACGAGGCACCTTTACTTTAAATATATGTTCTTTGCACAAACGAACACCCCGAAAACCACAATAACAAACTGCTGGTGGCGCCCAGAGAGACGAGCGCGGTAACACGTGGGAATCTCTCGCTTTCCCGGGAGCCAGGCCGACCTTTGGAAGCCCGGACGTTACATTGTAGCAGGACCTTGACGTTAGACTCTCTCATGGTCACCAACTCACAATGTGGGTGCAAAGGGCTGACCATTTAACATGGACCAAATTTCAGCAACCCCGATTCTGTACATTTTAAAAAAACACGCAACATAGACCAAGACCCTAAGAAATGGACCCGACTTGCGCTCCCCGTGACCCCCGACGGCTCCCGTTCGGTTTGGTGGCTGTTTTCTGCGCCGTGTACGACTCACGCCTTTAGCCGGTCATGCCCTGGCTGGATGTCCCCATTCCACATGGGACCAGATTACAGCCTCACACCGGAGGGTCCCCCTGGCTGCTTCCTGGGCCCCCGAGGGTGCTCGGAACCTGCCTGGGGCTGCGCCTGACGCCCCTCCGGCGCTGGTTCGCCTCCCTGCCCCGAGGACGCCAGCGCCTTGACTCCGGCTGGCACGAGCCTTCCCTCCGCGTCAGCCTCGGGGACCTGCAGTGTTTCCGCGCGGCCCTGTTGGGCCCAGCCTGGCCCCCGGGCATGGGGAGCAGGCAGAGACGGAAGAGAGGGGCCCATGGGCGGGCCACGGGGTGAATGACCAAGGGGCTTCCACCTGAGGCTTGTTTGGGGCCCGGGCACAACGAGGACGCCCCGGCAGGGAGGCCTCGGCTGGGTCCGGGCGCGGGCGCGCGCGCCGCGCACGTGGGCTCCACCCCAGGCTGCGCCTTGGTGCAAACCCGCCTCCCTCGGGGGTGCTGTGGGATGGGGGAGGGACCGTGGGCGGAACGTTACGTTCCAGAGACCCGGGACCAGGCAGGACCGCCTAGTGCGCGGCGCCTGCTTCCGGGTCAACCGGGGTCACTTCCGCTCCGAGGCGTCGACCGAGGGTGCGCGGCGCTCCCGCCATTTCTCGATCGCTCAGAGGCGCGGCGCCGGGCGTGTCAGGGCGCCGGCCAGTGACGGTTTCTGCTTTTCTCTCCGCTTGCGTGCGGCGGCGGCGCAGATGGCGACGTCCCCGCCTCGTCCGAGGAGGAGGAGCAGGAGGAAGAGACCGAGCCTCCGAAGCACGAGGCCGAAGACAAAGTGTCGGGTGAGGGGTTAGGGGGGCGCTCGGCGGGTCCCCGCCCCGAGCAGAATCAGGTCTACGTTTATTATTTTTTTTCTTTTTGGTTCATTAAAAAACACGTACCGAGGATATTTCCCCCCCGTTGCTTTTTAGCGAGTGGAAGGGGGAGGGAGAGAGAGAGAAACGTGGATGCGACAGAGACGCGGCGACTGGTCGCCTCCCGAGCGCGCCCGCC